CAGCCAAAAAAAAAAAAAAGAAAAAAGAAAAGAAAAAGTTTGTATTTTAGCCAAGGGGAAAACTAAATCTTTTGAGAACAGAATTGATTGCACAGAACTCAGAAGAAGGCAAAATAGCTTGAATAAATGTAGAACTAGTCATAATTTAAGGGAAAAAAATCAGTTTGCATGGTGATTTTTGATACATAGCAGGAACTGAAAGCTACCATTAGAAATATTTTTTAAACATAAGATAGTCTAACATAATTTAACAAAAACATCATTTTTATAAAATATTTAATAAATACATTTTAATATTTTATGAGATGCATTTAATAACTCAAAAACTTTCACACTTGCATTACAACTTAACATTAAGAGACGGGTAACTTGAACAGCAGAAAGTCTTCGCTTAAATATCACTTCAGTGAAATATACTTTAAATACACGATTTACAGTTGTACCCTACCTGCACTCCTGATCTCCACTGACCGGCCTGACATGTGTCTTTCTCTTTACTTTTCCCCCTTGGGATTTGTCACCTTTTAAGAGACTATCATTTACTTACTCTATTTATTGTTAACTGTTTGTCTCCCTTTATACTGTTTGCACTCCTAATACTGTTTGTCTATTACATATATCGTTTACTGTTTAAATTCCTTAAGGGCAGTGATCTTTGCTAAATACAGACTTCTGCCCATTTCATTCACTGCTACATTCCCATCACCTAGAACACCTGTTAAATGCATAACAGAATGAAGACAGGGGAATATAGAAGAAAGAACAGTGCCTGGAATCTGTAAAAGCTGAGCAAATATCTTTTGAATTTTTCTTTTTTGTCCTGGTTTAAATTAAAAACAAAAAATGAGATTAATTTGTTCCTTTTTAACACTATGGTGTCAATGACCTCCTTTCTCTCTCTTTTCTTTATCTCCCTAACTAGAATCTTCCTAATCTCTTTTGCCACTTCTTACTAACATAAACATCTGTCAGAAATGTAAATGATCTTCACTTGAGGGATATTTTCCTGGTCTGACTAGGTTATTTGCCTCAGGTATATAGGCTTTGTCCTATTGGTGCTCCAAATTCCACTAAAGACCATCTACCTGCCTTGAGTTTCATTCTCATAAGAAACAAGATATGAATTATTTAATTCAGCAAACTCCCCAGTTACTGTCAGTTGCCTCCCCAACTCCCTTTTTATCTTGGTGGTGAAATCCCCATTGTGACCCTGGGAGATGACACCCACCCTGAGGTCCAAAGGTAATTACTGATCTGCCTAAGCGGATCATGGTGGCCTTATTCTCCTTGTCAGTAACTGGTTTAATCTTAGTGATATGATACAGTACTGGCCAATGAAATATGTGAAGGTGTCTCTGGATTGTCCTGCAAAAGGTTTCATTTTTTTTTTTTTTTCCTTTTACTGGGTAAGAAAATGATCCCATGTAATGACTGAAATTGCAGCAACCATCTTTCCATTATGACAGGAGCTAAGCTGACATACTGAGAATGACAAGGTGCTTCATCATGTCTTTAGACTATTCAATCAAGCAGCCATGAAGCTGCCTCAGCCGACGACTTTGTTAGAAAAGATAACATGTACTTTTTGTTGCTGAGTCAGAATTCTTTGTGACTTACAGTTTAAAACTTCTTAATGAACGATTACCAATATTATGATACTGTACTTTTCAAAACTTTTCAAAAGCACACAATCTGGAAGGCTCTCTAGTTTTATGGGATTAGTTTGACTCTGGGCCACAAAATTAAACACTCTCTGTCTGTATTGCTGCAGGGATGTAGACAAGTTTTAAGAAAGGATAAAGTTCTGGACCAGACATAGAAGATTATAAAATAAGTAATAAAATGCTTTAAAATGCTTAACAGCGGCTTTTAAATAAATGTTGCCATAGCGTTCATCTAAGGCCATTATGTAACTTATTGGATAATTATCCTTCCACGTTACTTAATTAAATGCACTTTCATGAACTAGATCATCTCCCTTTCAGGGGCTCCCAACTCAGGATAAACAGTGATATATATCTGACTTCGTGTAGGAAGCCAGAACAAAATACTTCCCAAACACTTAAACCCAAGAGGAGAGATCTCGGCAGAAAGGAGGATATGATAGGTAGACAGAGAATCCAGCAAAGAGAATAAAACAAAACTACCATAGAAGAAAGAGAACTGAGCCCCACTTGCAACTTTCAAACTAGGGATAGTCCCTTAACGTGTGCATTACTTGTGCTGAGCAAGGAAGGTAGATACAAAGGGAGGGTATGTAATTTAGAGTCCTTGCAGTTCTACTGCACTGACTTTTCTGTGTAAGAGGAATACTAGTTGAAACACAAGCAAGGAGATCATATATTGTTTCTACATACTGCTGTGCTAGTGAATTCATCCCTGATCTGAATGGTAAGAGCACATTCATGGGGAATGAATAATAGTGTGACATAGCTAATTAATGCCAGTTCAATCCAGGCCTCTTAGGCAATCGTGCCAAATTGTACAGTGCAATGGGGTGTTTTTTATGTGACGGTGGTGTATGGGGGATTGATCTGCGGATGTAAAGATGGCCTCAAACCACAGGGCCAGAACTAACTGCTCAGCATTATTGTCGTCGCTGAATTACAGCTTTTTGATCTGGCAAAACTGCCACAAGACTTAACATTTCTGAAATACTATCATAAAATGGAATTCTGAAATAACTAGCTCATCAATCACTGACATTCCATGCTGCTTCCCAGAATTTGAAGCACATATGCAAGTATTTTGAATCTCCTTTGCAGAAAAAAAAAAAAAAATCCTTTTTAAATGCCTCATTTTATACAATCACACACACCAGGTCTAAAAAGGCCAGGTATGAACGTCCTATTTTTAAGGTACTAATATGATAATTGAGTGAAATAATTATGAATATGAAGGAGACAAAAGAGGGCTTTCTCTTAGAGTAGTTGTTTAGGTAACATACAGGCATGGCATCTTAGTGATAGGTTCATTAACTATTTCTGAATAGCAGATTTTATTTCTAACCTGCCAATTTCAAGCTAAACCAATTTAATATATGTTTCACAGATTCCTGAGAGGTATATGCTCTGCCATTTGCAAACAGTTATATTTCTTTTTAATTTAGCCATATTAATTATAGCTATTCAAATCTTCATTTATTTTTGTGTTTGTCCCGAGAACTGATAGAAATGCATAGATACATCTACTCTTATATATCTGACAAATTTTCTTCATAGTTCCAAAATTTAATGTTCATTTATTTTTAAGAGAGAGTGATGGAGCACGAGCCGGGGAGGGGCGGAGAGAGAGGAAGACACAGAATCTGAAACAGGCTCCAGGCTCGAAGCTGTCAGCACAGAGCTCCGTGCGGGGCTCGAACTCATAGACTGTGAAATCATGACGTGGGCTGAAGTTGGATGCTTAACCGACTGAGCCACCCAGGCACCCCCATATTTCCAAAATTAAAAACAAATAAAAAACTTGATACTATATATTTGGGAACATATTCATGACAGCGTTATATATCTTTTTATTAAAGGTGTATCTATCTTTATATTATATAGAGGGAAGTTCAACAGATGTGATAAGGCAATGAGTAACATGCAAAGCCAGAAGTCATGAAGTTCCCAGAACATGTTAAAGTAGGTCATTATAATTTCATGTGATGTGTTCTTTTTGGACATTATGTCTCATCGAATCACTCTTTTTTGGTCCAATTAATACATTTTTTTGATTACCACTTTTTCATCTTAACTTTATCACCTGATTTATGTTCACATGCATTATATTTATTTGCTATAAATCTTGCCTGATCATTTACTTTGTTCCTTTTGAGTCGCTTTACTTTAAACATGTCACTTATATACAACTTACTTTAGGTTTATTTAAGGAAAAACAGACAAAAATAAACTTTTCCTTTTAACTGGTAAGGTTATCCCACTTCTACATATCTATTTTGTTTAGTTACATTAGTTGGTTGCCACATCAAAACTTCATTGTTTTGACTAGTATCTTAGTTGTATAAATTATACACAGATTTGCTTGTAGGTAATATGGCTCCCACATCCCAGACGATCCGACTATGTCTTTTTGGCTTTTTTACACATTAATGGTGACTTGCCTAGGAATGGAACTTCAATTCATTCTGCTTTCCTTAGAAACATCATAGACTTGAATTTAATCCACAATGATTGCCTTAAAGAAGTCTAAGGCTCCCCTGATTTTTTTTTTTTTTTTCCTTTATAGGTGAGTTGTTTCTTTTGCCCAAATGCCTTTGGCATTACTTTTTTTATCCCCATAATTCAATAATTTCAACAGGATATGTTTTGGTTTTGAATGTGCTCCATTAACTTTTCTGGGAACAAAGTGAACCTTGTCAATGTGTAAATTTAGCTATTTCCTCATTTCAGGAAAGTATTTATCTTTAATTTTTCCCCTATTCTATTTGTTCTGCTTTCTGCACCAGGGAGGCTCCAATTTTCCATATGTTTCTGTTCTCGAAACATAGCATTTATCTACAACCTTTTTCCCTGCTTTGTCTTTCCTTTCTTCACTCTTATGTAATAATTTCCACTCAGATACCCTATTGTTAGAAATCTCTACTTCCGGTCTCTAAAGTGTCCATTATTATGGCAATGGCACCATCTGCTCACTTTTTCTAACTACTACTAGGTCTCCTTCAACCTCACCTTTTTACTGATTGTCTCATCACTAATCTCTTTTGTTCATAGATCCAATGCTCTACTTGACTTTGTACTTGATACAATTGTTTTCTTCATGCCCCAACCCCCCATTTCTGTTCACTCATTGTGTTCTTTTATTTTTTACTTGCTGCATTCCTTTCTTTGGTTCATTTCTCCGTAGGATGACTATTTGAAACCCATGTGAATTCTCTTTTTGCATTTCCTTCAAACTGGGGACAGTTTTATCTAAAACCAATTTTTAGAAATAGAGCGAGCAGATTCCTTGGGCGCCCCTCTCTATTTACATGGATGACCAGATATGGATAGTTTGCATTTTTTTTTTTTTCTACATTTCAGGCACCTGAATGGAGTATGGTATGAACTCGGAACTGTCTTTAAGAGACTTCTTCGATACTTTCTAGGTCTTTTTCCTATCAGAGAACAAACTCCTCATTCAGCTCAAGCATAACCCATAATGAGGCCTTAGGGCGTCAGTGTATACACCCAATGCAGGAAGAACCATACTAGCCTGGTAAAAGTCTTCTGGTTTCAGGTTCTTTGATTTTGCATGACTGGGGTCTTTCTTCCTTTTTTGCTCCTCCTTTTCTTTGGTTCTTCTCTCTGCCCTAGTCAACCACAATTTTCTGCCAAAAAAAAAAAAAAAAAGCCCTCATTAAAATGAAGACAGTTTAGGTGGTACAGACTTTAACACTTCATGAACTAGGCAATTCTTTGATCTGGAAATGGCTCCTTCAAGAAGTGTTAAATAAAGTTTGTTTTGAAATGTCAGTTGTTGTCATACTGACCTTGGCTTGGTAGCCTGGACACCACTGACCCTGGGAAACCACCTCAGCAAAAGAAAACTTAACTCTTAGACTCCATGTTCTTATAAATGGTCTATCTGCTGAGAAACCAGGCCATCTAGGTAACCAATCTGTGGTCATCAAAGAACATGAGTGATCCTCCTATTCCAATGATACCTCAGATAAGGTCAGATACACAACCCAACCAACCAGATCTTTTTATTCCTTCTCTTCCTTGTTTCCTATTCTTTATCCTATAAAGGCATCCTGCCTTCTCATCCCCCACCTTTCAGTTCTTTTGATGGTGGGGAATGCCTGCTTCACCAAGTGTTAAATAAAGTTTGTCTGTATCACCTAAACAATCTTCTTTAGTCTTTTCAACACCCTAGATTATCTCTGAGATCCTCACTACTTTTTCTGTCCAGAAGAGAAAATCAACAATCATAAAAATAGAGTGAACCTAAGCTTATCCTCTAATACTTGGGGAATATCAGCAAGATAGTTCATAATTATGTTACCTTTGAGAGAAAGAAGTCTGCAAGTGTCTGTCTGGTAGGGAGTATTTGTAGCATATAACATCATGATTAAGAATGATATTTCCACCTTGTCCTACTCAGTTCAAATCCTAGGTGAATTCCTTGCTGTCTGTGGCAAAATGAGAAGCTATTCAACCATTTACTTTACTTTCATGGGGAAAAATCTGAGAAATCATGTACCCTACTTTCTAGGGTTTTCATTAGGCCAAGGTTTTTAGAAAAACTTACTTTGTTAGGCCCATAAAGTGATTGGTACTTGTTAAGCATTTTGGTGTAAGAACACACAAAAGGTAGAATTTTCTTTTCAATATCTGTTTATATATTTAACAGAGACCTAGAGAATTATTCTACCAGGTGACATTCTTAAAATACTCTTTATATCCACATGCATATTCAATGATAGACCATATTATAAAGGCTAGAAATGACATACTATTTAGCTTGAAAAGACATAAGAGCACGTGAAATAGTGAAACATTTCAGAAAAGAGTAGTGGAATCTCACTGCATACAATCTGTAGTGATTGGATTTCTTTGGGTTATTGTTATCCAACCTGTGAATACCCAGGTGCATCTAATAGAAATGTTCATTTTTCTGCTTATTATTCAGCACCTGCTAAGTTGTATCTATTTTTTTGAATAGCATAAAATGAATTAAAATAAACATGAATACAATGTTATTCTACCATATAATTCTACTTTCAGTGTATTTGAAATGACTATGTATCATTTGTGTTTCTTTTGTTTATGGATGATTGTTGTAATGACACCATTGTTTAAGATGTGGTTTTCATAAATTGTTCCTTGGATACATGATTACTATTTTCCAACAGCAGTTTTTCATGGTGATAAACTATAACATACATATTTCCCTGTGCCAGAATTGATTTGTACAAATGGGTTTGGTCTAAAGACCCAATCAGCTTTGTGAATATTTCACTTTGTAACTGTTCAATGGGCAATCTATTTAGCTGAACTGCCACAATCAAGCATGTTAAAAAGACTTTCACTTTAGTAAATGAAATGGGAAAAAAAATGTTACAATCTTTTAACAAGGATGTCAATCCTTTTATAATTCTCTTAGGAAACGTGGTCTTTCTGGGGTAAGTTTACCACCATCTCATCTGTTTGTCAGTGATCATGGTTGGAATGACAATTATATGGCAAAATATTTTAATATTCTTATTGTACTTTTTAAACATGGTGTGGACAATTTATAATTATGCAGAATGCACTGTTCTTACATGTAGAAAAACAGAACATGAACTTCAATGTAATTTTATTAATCAATAACTTAATCATGTGTAAAAACCTGCCATTATGCCTTTCACTTTTTACTCTCCCTTGAGATTCCCACAAACTTCTAGTATGTTTTTTTTTTATTTGATTCTCTAATGCCATCTTGCCACATTAGACTGGTTTAAATGATAAAAGAAAAATAACTATTTATTTTGAACTGTGTTTGTAAAAAATGAAGCACTTTTCTGAAATGTTAATTATCAAACTGATAAAGTTATTATTATATATTTCCTATCCAGAACATTTTAAAGTGCCTTCCAGAGGATAGAATAATAGTTTGAGAATAATAAATACTTTTGTCCTTTAAAAAATCCAAATAAATTATTTGAATAGCTGCCGATATAGTTAAACCAAATGGTCAGCTTAATTTTTTTAAATTACTATATAATTCATATGTAGAAGCCAAAAGTTATAAAAATAACATATTAGAATAAATTAGAATATAGACATATGTTATAAATTAGAATATAAGCACATATGTTTATATTAGAATATGTTATAATTAAAATATATTACATTCTAATATTATATTATTAGAATATGTTATAAATTAGAATATAAACACATCTATTACTTGGTAAGTCAGTTTGGGGTTTAAATTAAGTATCATGGAGACTATAGACAGAATAATTTGTTTCTATCACCATAAACCTGCAGCCTGTGTGTCATTAAACACAAGCCCACTTACAACTCACTCCCACACATATATAAACATTTAAATGCAAATTTAGAAGCATGGAAACATACAGGAGAAAGACACACCATATATGCTTCTTTATTTTTTATCAGTTAATGGCATATTATGGTTAAAAATATTGTTTTAAGCTTTCTGGTGTAATATACTTTAAAAATACTTACTGTTGCTGACTTTTTAATAGAATGACTCAAATAAAAGGAAAGAGAGAAAGAAACATCTGGGACACGTTTGAGATTTTTGTCTTACATTTCTGAAATGCTGATTGGAATACCACCAACTTCAAAGGAAATCTTAGGCTCGGTCCAAATAGCTGAAAGGGAAAATAGAAACTGACCTTTTCCTAAAATGCCTCTCACGTAATCACTTACATTCTTGCAGATTGCTGTCAAAATTTTGTAGAACACAGGATAAAAAACAAATAAGTAAGAACTACTTTAATTCACTTTATGAATATGGACATATATAAAGTTTTCTAAAGCTTGCCAAAGCTAAGAAAAAAACCAAGCAAACAACTCCCCCTTTTATGCCTCTTCCCTTTTCTACACTGTTTTAGGTTTATTTGGACTACTATTTGGCATTTTAATTAAGACTATTTTAGTTCATTGTTTCTGCATTAATCTTTCCCATGCAGATGGTGAACAACTTGAGGATGGGGACTCTACCTAACTCATATTTGAATCATCGCACAGGGAGCTTTGCAAGTATTACAGACGATGTCTGTTGAGAAAAAAAAAAAGGTGCAAAAAAAATTTTTTTTTTTAATTTTGCCTTTTCATGTTGTGTCCTCTTTAGTCTTAGCTGATTATGGATAGTCCTGAGTAGGAGTTGCCTCCATTTGTGAAATAGTTTGAGCAAGTAGACAAGTCTCAGTGGTGTTTCTAGGCAGAGCTTAGTTGCCTTCTGCTTTCATCCTAGAAAATAGGAAAAAATGATTCCTAACTTACAGTCTCCTGGGCAATTGTTCTCTTGACTTTTAGCTGATCCTAAGACCCATGTTAGTTTTGGTTGACATAAGTGATTCTCTTTATCAGCCCTGGTTTACATTTAAGCATTCAAACTTCACTATAAATTTTAGTGATATGTTGAAAAACTTTGCTTGGGATTTTAATAATTTTTGTTGCTCAGCAAGAGGTAAGATCGCATTGTCCCAAAAGTGCTTTTTAAAACCACGTAGGTAGTTTACATTCAAGTTAAAGATAATTAAATTTTATATAAAGCACACATCTCTACATCTCAGAGAACATTCATGTTCAGTCTTTGATCTGAGTATTCAGTTGCTACTGCTAATGTGAATTTCTAAGCTAAAAATAACTGCCACTCTCCTAGACTGCTCACGGTGCCATTGAAAACTCAGGACTGCTGTTGAGTTACTCTGATGATTCCTCACAATGGGAACCTACTATGGGTCTCATTCACTTCTACTGGAAAATTGCATGTTTGCGGTTTTCTTGGACGTGTCCCCAAATGCTTTAAGTAACATTGCTCACCAGATAACAAGTACCAATTCACTTTAACTCTCACAACTGAGAATCGTGTATTCTACAAGATTTTTATTTTGAAGAGATCATGAAGCCTGGTCTCGTTCCAGTACATTTTTGTCAATTGCATTTCAGGCATGATTTTTGTATAAAATCCCTTCCTATCTACTTGGTATGTGATAGCAACCTTGGGACAGTGTTATGTTTCCCGGCTGGAGTTCCCCTTCTAATTTCTTTCAGTTTCAGGGAAATGCCACTGCATTTTCACATTTCATTTGGGGTTTGAACATGCAGCAGGAGCCATAATCTAGCAAACCTGCCTTGGGACCTCAGGCGAGTGAGCCGTCATGAGAGAATGGTGCTACAGAGTCTTAGAGCCAAATGTTCTTTCGTGGCAATACAGACGTACATGTGGCAGTTTGTATAAAATCTGAATTCAAAGATCTGGAAGATCCTCTCGATGGAATTTTTTTTTTTTAAAGGATGATGGATGTTCTGGAAGAAATACCAATTTTCATCTTTGAATTTAACTCTTGTGTTATTCTGCACCAGGATATCAAAGTTTGGACCACATTTTTTTTTCTATTTTTTTTTAACCATTCTAATCCTATTGTCATCTTGGTCCCCTTCTTAACACTTCTTACTGACATTTCCAGGTTCCCCATTTTCCTTCAGCCAAAGCTGCAAGGAGTAGCTTAATCAGCTAATAGCAAATCCATTCTCACATATATTATTAATGAATTTTTACTGAATTAAACATTTTGAAAAACCTAGGGAGCTAAAAACAATGCCTTCCACATACCTCAATGGTAGCACTTATTGGTCTTTCTTT